AAATTCAGGGCATTAGGTCCAGGAGAAGACCTTGTGTTGAGTCTGGGGAAAAAAAGGTTACCGGTCTTCCCCTGGGGCCAGCTTCCCTGTAGGGACCAGCCACCCTCATTGGGGGTCTAACAACTGCAGTTTTATTCCAGGCCCTTCTTTACGGCTGGTCCTGAAGTTCTGGTCACTCTGTTGCATTCTCTGTCCCACACCCCAGGAAAACACCCTTGACCTCCCATCAGAACAACATGCAAGTATATTGCAGATTACCCTGACCCCCTTACAAACCACGGCCCCCTCCCACCTCCAATTACATCATGATGAGATCCTCACCTCATGGGGCCAGGACATCACTGCACAGCCGTCAAACCCCAGAGAATCAGGGTCTTAACCAAGGAGAGACAGGCTTTGAGGGGTGGACAGTTCAACTCATGACAAAATGCTTATGGCATCTCTCTGCAGACTCCCTGCTGGGTGATTGAACTGACTCCAGTACTCAGCAGAGCCCCCCATTCATGCATGTGTCAGACGAATTGCATCCCCCAAAGTGTTTTCAGAAGCCCCAGGCCTTTTTCCCAAGATGCTGCTGCGTGGATTCAAACCACCAACCTTTTTATTTGCCCCACTGAGTTCTTCACCACTCATCTCAGGCTGACAGTCTTAACGTCAGCCCTGTCCACCCCTTTTCTCCCTTCCTGTTGCAGACCATCAAGTCAGAAACAACTCACAGCTGACCCTCCAGTGGGTTTTCAGCAGCCGTGAGCTGCACAGGAGGAGATTAGTAGATTACTCTGATGAGTAAGGCTTTTCCAATTGACCATAATCCCCTGGTAACTCCCCAGGTTACAAGCCTAAGAGGGCTGATGACATTTCATCCTCATGACCTTAAAACGACATCCTAACCTCACTGTCAAAACAGTGCCGTTTCCAGCTCAGCCAAGATCTCCATCATTGGAGGGGAAGGCAGAGGGGGGTCCAAGAGCGTGTTACATCACCCTTAAGATAAAGGATCGGTCTTCTGATATTCACAATCACCGCACAGCGCCCTTAAACATAAAACAAGCAGAAGAACACAGAGGGGAAATCAAAACACTCACTTTCCTTGTCTGTCTCCAAAGGAATAGATCGAGAAACTGTGGTGTGGCTGCCCAGTGGAATAGTACACAGCACTGAAAAAGACAGCTATCTGGAGAAGCACTCCATTTGGATAAGTCCAGGGGACATGAGGCTGAGAAAATGAACAACTCAGGCACCAAGGGATAGGTGTGCAATCCAACCACTGTAACAAAATCAAGAGGGTTTGCACAGCGGGGGGTGGGGGGTGGGGGTGGGTGGCAGGAAAATGACCAGAGGAACAGCGCATTACAAAAGAGAAGCGTGAGAAGATATTCAGAGTGAGGAAACAATGAACGCGGCAGCAGTCTGCATACCTGAGCAAGTCAAACACCCACCCGTTGTCTACCAGAATCTTAAAAGCAGACTTTAAAAGCTTTTTAAAACCACCAACCACCATCCCTCCTGGTGGCCGCTGTCCCACATCCTCAGCCTCTTCAAAACGTCTCAAGCTGATCCTCTCATGTCTAGCAACGCTTTTCCAAAAGTATGCAAATGATGGTTCAGCCTCCAGGCCACTTTGCCCCTCATCAGAGTCCACCCCGACCCCTCCCCCCAAGCCCCAGGGGCTGAATTTTCCAAAGGCAATCACCCAGACTTCTCCTCTGAGGGACCACAGAGTAAATTCCACTCACCGGCCTTCTTCCTGTGAGCAAGTCAGCCATCTTCATGAAATCGATTTCTCCTAAAAGCTTTAGCTTCACTAAACCATCAGCCAATGTGGTTGGTCTCTCTCTGCTATTTCCTGTGGCCGCGTTGCTAGGGTTTTTCTTCTGAGTTCTCTCCAGGTGTGCTAGAAAAGAACCTCACACTTTTCCACAAGCACTTTGGCAGTCCTTTTACAAAGTCCTTCCAGCAAGTCCCTACCCTCCAGAAATAGGAAGTGAGGAATCTGATCCCACGCATTCGATGTGGCAGGAGTGAGAGGTCAGAATTGCCAGGGGCTTGTCCAGGAGGTGCCACAAGGCTTTTTCTGAAGCTTCATTGTGCAGTAAACTGCCAGGTCTTGTCAAATCGGAGGGGTCTCCTGAGAGCTGGGCCAACTGGCCTGAGGGTACAGTGGCTCCGAGAGTGAGGAAGGACTCATCGAAAACCTGAGTTAGGCAGGTGACAGAGCCTTGCTTGTGGAAAGCTAGGAGAACTCAAAGCATGTATTGCAGGAGTCCAGAGATGACAGCCTTCACTGCACAGCTAGGCAACATCCTGATGTTGTTGTTGTTGTTATGTGCTGTCGAGTCACCTGCGACTCATAGCGACCCTAGGTACAACAGCCCTAAACTCCGCTCTGTCTTGTGCCAATCACACTGTCTCTGACACTCCCATCCCAATTATCCCAGTCACTGAATCAATCCACCTCATAGAGGGCCTTCCTCTCCTGCGCCGTCCCTCCACCCTCCCAAGCATGATGTCCCTCTCTCCAAGGACCGGTCTCTCCTCACAACACGTCCAAAGTATGTTAGACGGAGCCTCAGAATCCTTGCCTCCAAGGAGTCACCCGGTTTAACCCTTTCCGGGACAAATCTGTTTGTTTTTCTAGCATTCCATGGTATTCTCAATACTCTTCTCCAGCACCACAGCTCAAAAGCATCAATTCTCCTTCTATCCTCCCTGGTCATTGTCCAACTCTCTGATGCATAACAAGTGATTGCGAAGACCATGGCCTGTATCAGATACACCTTAGTCTCCAGAGAGACACCATTGCTCTTCAGTACTTTGGAGAGGTCCCTAACAGCAGACTTTTCCATGGCAATGCGCCTTTTAATTTCCTGGCTGCTGGTGCCAAGACTGTTGACTATGGAGCCAAGCAAACTAAAGCTGTGAACAATCTCAGTCTCTTCACCATCCATCCTGATGCTGCCAATTGGTCCAGTGGTGAGAATCTTTTTCTTCTTGACATTGAGCCTCAGGAAGAAAATACCTGTCAATGATTTCCATCTTACTCTCATTGACCATCATGTTACCAGCCATCAGGAAATCCAAAGACAGGCTGCATTTAGAAAAGTCTCCAGTGAGGGTCCTAGTCAAAATTGTGCAGAGCAAGGGTGTCTCTTTAGGGACTAAGGTGCACCCGAACCAAGCCATGGCATTTTCCAACTTGCTTTCAATACATCTTCTTCCCCTCCCCCCTCCCTAATTTTGTTTGATTAACGTTTTGGAGGTTAGGATTTACAAACAAAGGGATATTCACATCAGTTCACAACATAGAAGATAATTGCTTAAGACTTGTTAATATGGCCAAATCAAATGGGTAGATGTGGGAGCTTTCAGTACAGCTTAAAGTTGGACACTGAATAAGGATGATAGAAGAAGAAGAGAAGGTGAGCTCTGGTGGCCCAGTGGCAAGAAGCTGCACTGCAATCCCAGAGGTGCATGCTTCAAATCCACCAGATGCTCTGCTGCAGAAGGAGGGACCATCTCCTCCTGGACCAGTCAGATCCGATTTGACGGTACACACATAAAAATTAATAATAATTAAAAAAATTTTTAAAAAGAAGAAGAGATGCCTTGGAGCTGCAATGTTGGAGAAGAGTGCTAAATATCTCACAGATATTGAGAAATATAATGAAAAATTAGATGCTAATGATACCAAGAACACCTTATCCTTCCAAAGGCAGCTGTCACTGAATTGATTCTGACCAACAAGAATCTCTGTGTGTGTATAGAATTACGGTTTGTTGGTTCTTGGTAACAGGTTTTCTGCAAATCGCCAGTCCATCCTTTCTTACCCAGGTTGGATTTGATGCTCCGATCTTTTTTTGGTTATCAGCTGAGATGGTGAAAGTTTGTGTGCCCTTTTGAGACTCGGGATAGAGGAGATGATTAATGCATAAACAGAAGATAATGCACATCAACACACACAGGTGAACAGATAAATAGGCATGTGTACAAGTCTATCTGTCTAGCTATAGATTTCTATCTTTATAGATTATAAAAAAATTAAAACGACTGTCGGTGAGTTGTTTCCAACAAGCCCTCGTGTGCCACTGAAGGACCGCTGAGCTCCGAGGGAATTTTTTCAAGAGCTGAGTTGTTTGTTTGTTTTTTCAGGAGGTCGCCTGGCTTTTATTCTGAAGCACTGCTGGGTGGAGTGAAAACTCTCATCTTTCTCGCAAGCGTATTCACTGTTTGTCCCATGTGGGGACTCCGCATGCATAGAGAAGAGATAGGAGTGTGCACCCAATCTCTCAAAGTCAGGGTCTTCCAGATGCCACCAACTGCTGTCCCAAGAAGAAATCGTCCCTTTCTCTCTCTCTTGGACATGCTGGTGGATTTGAACCTGCAACAGGATATGCCTCCTTCACTTGAGAGGGGCAATTCCATGTCCCCTAGCCACTGCTTTCTATCCACTTCTGACCTCCTGTCCCGTTTCCTAGGCTGTAAATCAGAACTGGTGAAGACAGCCCGTTCTGTCTTCCTCACAGCAGCTGGTGGATTTGAACTGTTGACCATTCATTTTAGCAATCCAACACCTCCCTCCCTCACCACACTGCTGGGAGTCCTTGTGCATATGAGCAGATGTATTTATATCTTGATCATGATCACCATCGAGTCAAAACCCACCTGTAGCTGACTGACCCTTCTTCAGCAGGTTTTCAGAATCTGTAAAAGGCAGGAAAGTAGATGGCCCTTCTGACTCTGGTGGATTTGAACTGCTGGCCTTGGGGTTGGCTGCCCAATTCCTTACCACTCAGCCACCAGGGCACCCTTATATTTTCAGACCTTGTTTTGTGGATGCTGCCCTCAGGTCGGCGGCATTCGGGGTCCACAGAGGGCTGGGATTTTTCTTGCTCTAAAATTTTTAGAGGCACTGGGGTTGATGGAGTTTAAATAGAGATCTAGGGGGGTTTAGTGTTCCCCCCAAGAGAGAGGTCCCTGTGGGAAAGATGCACCCCGGGAGGTCAGTGGAGAAAGCGGTCCAATTTCTCTTGGATGTGGGCAAAGGCATCCCTGCCCAGGTAGTCTATATGTCCAGCCTCCCACTTCCTGCGTTCCTCCTCGGGGTTCGGCTCCCTCCTTTTCTCTTCGATGTGCATCTCCGACATGGACACGGCCAGGGTCACCTGTAAGAGGGAACAGAGAGGCTGCCCGGGGCTGCCCGCTGGCCCCACACCACATCCACCATGCGCCCCAGCCACCCCAGTGTGTGCTGTCTGCACCACACCCAAGACCCTGGGTAGGCCCCAAACCCACTGCAAATCCATCCCAATGCCTGGACACCCCCAAGGGAGAAGGGTGGGCAGTCTTTTCTCATGTGGTTTAAGGCCTCAGAAATCCTATTTGTTGGCCTGTGTCGTCCATTCACAAGTGACTCCTACCTGACCCTCCAGGGGCTTCCAGAGGTTCAAAATCACAGGCGAGGAGATGGTCACTTTTTCTCCTTCAGAGCAGTGGGTGGATTAGAACTGAGGACCTTTGCATTGGCAGTGCTATTCCTTACCACTAGAGGCGCTGTGGAGGCCTAGTGTTAAGAAGCTGCACTGCAATCCCAAAGGCACACGGTTCAAATCCATCCATGGGAGGAGGATAGGAAATCTCTTCCCACTCGACTTACAGACTCTGAAAACCTACGGGGGTGTGTGTCAGCTGTGGGTGGGTTACAACGTGACAAAGTCCAGCCACATGAACCAGCCACTGGTGCTCCCCAAGAAACCATATAGGGTCCCCTAGGACTGGGCTCGGACTTCACAACAGTGGGTTTGGGTTTAGGGCCAAGTAGAATTTCTTCCCGTAGGGTTCCCAAGATGATAAATCTTTACTGAAGCAGACTGTGTCATAT